CTTGGCACATACTACTCAGTAAATATTTATTAATTAGATAAGTGAATAAAGGACTAAAATGGTTGTACATCTGTTGTCCTTGCCCTTAGTTGGAGAATAAATTAAGTTTATTATCTACAAGTCACTGATGCATCTATTCTATAGTTTTCAAGATTGATGTCAATTAAGCGCAGTCAACTTTCACTGAAAGTTATTGCTAGTCATTCCACAGCAATTTGGAACTATTTCTGGTCTGTGCTAAAATTCATTGGAGGGCATTCAGGAAGGCAGTCCTCCTTTTTTTCTGTCTGAGTGTTTCTAGCACTCTGGCTTAATAAATATTGAAAATATATATATATATATATTACAGGTCCAATGAGGTTTACTGGAGAATTGGATGTGAGGCATGGAAGAAAGAATCATTTCTAAAGATAATTGATCTAGGGTTGGAGCTAGGATTTAATCCTAGCCAGTTTGGCTCAAAAGTCTATGTTCATCTGCTATCCTGTGCTGCTTATTGATGAGGAAAAAAAGCAAAAGAACTGAAAAGGTTGACTTCTGATTTAAGAAGCGCCCTACAAGAGTATGATGTCTAGAAAGGCAAATTAAGAAGTGCTTCAAGGGCTGGTGACATGGCTCAGCAGTTAAGAGCACTGGCTGCTCTTGCAGAGGACCTAGACTCCCAACACTCACATTGGTGCTAGCCACCATCCAAAACTCCAGTTCTAAGGGATCCTTCACCTTCTTCTGGCCTCCGTGGGCATTGACACACTTTATATACATGCTGGCAAAACACTCAGACACATAAAATAAAAACAAATAAAAATTTTAAAAAGTGTTTTCAAGAATGAGTTGAATTTCCGTATGTTGCATTCATAAAGATTAACCGTGGTACTTTGCAGGAAGAAAGTATACAAGGTGTGGATACCAGGAAGTGAGAATCAGTGTGCTTAGATTCTGGCACATGGGCTAAAGAGAGAACAGGAGATTGATTAAATAAATATACTAAATACTAAGGACTTGAGGTATTTGCCAGAAAGGAAAGCAGAGAAATAATGAGTTTGTCTGTGTTACGTGTAGGTAGATATAATAGTGGAGCTTATAGAAATCCTTTGGTAGTTTTTTTTTTTTTTTC